TTTCTTAACTCGTTACCTTATCTTTTATTGAATTTCAAATTTTATTTTTGTAAATAGTGGCATAACATTCAATTATTTGTACAAAATTGTATTATTTAATAAAAAAAATCCCAAAATACATTTGAGAGTATAAATAAGTGCCCTCTAACAAGAAAATTTTTTTTCAAAATTTAAAAAACATTTTTCCTTCCACTTCAGCACTGATCCTGCCATCTATGATTGGTATCTAAACTTTTTCTAATCTGTTTTCTTTATAAAACAGGGTTTGGGCATGTTAAACCTCAGTTGTAAAACTTTTAGCCAATCCTAATCGAAGGTATCAATTTCAGTACCATGTTATTCCAATCGCTGTATTTTATGTTTGACAAATCATAGGATGATAAGGAAAGCACATGACGAAACATTGTTCTCTGGATTTTACAATATGAATGTGGGTGGTGCTTATTATAGCAACTGCCATTTTAAGTAGAGGTTGTATTTAGTATTGACCAATAGTACTTTTCTATAAGCCTTAGAAAACTTGCTTCTGGAAAAACTGCATGGAATGTATGTGACTTTTATTATTTTTCTATAGTAGCTTAAGTCATGCTGTATCTTATATCTATTTATATTAATCATTATATTGAAAAATTAACTCAAAATAGATATATTTTTTAGGAAAGAAATTTATTCACGGTTCTTAGGGTTAAGAGCTATCAAATGGTGAGTGCAAGGTCTTTACATGAATTAGGCTTAGTACTTTGAACTGAAAGAGTTTGTGATTTTTTTATATTCTTTTACAACTAAATTAGTAGTTTTAAGTTCAATAATTTAGCATAATTTTATATTTAGATCATAATAATAATATTATTATTCAGTATTTGGAACGATAAGCTTGTGTGATTTGTACGTAATACTAGTACCAGTACCACATAAGAATTTTATATTTTTCCTTCTTACAATCTTTACTTCTGTTGTTGTTGCTTTAGAATTAAAACAGTCTAACTGATATATATAAAGTTTATTCTGATATTTTGCAAATGGTTTAAAACTCAGTGTACAAGTGAAAACAATAAAACCCATATGTTGGTTCTGAAACAGACTAAATACATTTGTCTCAGTAATACAGGAGAAGCTATGACATTCTCACATTAGGGGTCTTAATACACTGAAGAGCTTAAGTTTTGAATTCCAATATAAATCTTGCCTACAGTGAGAGGAATGTGACCAGGACTAATCTTTTAAGTGCTTTAAAGTAATTTTCTTTGTAATTTATGGTGTCTGTATCGTTTGGTAATCTCTTCTAACAGGATGTATCATGTAACTAGGGTGAGGCAGTGTTAGTCAACCCACCTGTACTGTAAATTATTAGTGTTACATACATTCACTAGTAGTGACAATTAGTTTTGTCTGTATAGTGAAACAACATACACAGACATATGTTGAAATAAACTTGCTTAAAAGTTCAAAGAAATGATATTCAATGACCAAAAAGCTTTCTTGTTATCATATATACAGTAATGTTGAAATGTACCACTGCTGGACTGAACGAGAGCGACCACCAACAGGCATGATAGT